ATCACGCCAAAACCCAAGCACACGGGGTCAAGAGGTACAGGTAACCCCCCCCACACCACCCACCCCACCCTCACCCTATTACCAGGGAACAGACACCCCCCCCCCCTCCCCCCTCCCCACACATCTTCCCCCCACCCCAAATATGTCAGAAAAGAACCACAACGGGTTAACAAACTCCCTTGCACAACCCTCCCCCTCCCTGGACGCCTTCCATCCCACTCTGCAAAGATGGAGGATCCTCAACAAGGCTCTTGGAAATAACATCACTTTGTACGGTTAAACTCCGGGATATATTATCCGTAGTTGGAGAGTCTTTAGGGTATAGAAAAATAGTAAAAAAAAAAAAAAGCTTAAAGAAAGTACTATTAACCTTTGCTTAAATGTTTCTTAGTTGTTGTTGTTTTTTGTTTGTTTGTTTCTAAGTAGGAGAGTCTTTAGGGTATAGAAAGATAGTAAAAAAAAAGATTTAAGAAAGTACTATTAACCTTTGCTTAAATGTTTCTTAGTTGTTGTTGTTTTTTGTTTGTTTGTTTGTTTGTTTCTTAGTTGGAGAGTCTTTAGGGTATAGAAAGATAGTAAAAAAAAAAAAGATTTAAGAAAGTACTATTAACCTTTGCTTAAATGTCTCTTAGTTGTTGTTGTTTTTTTTTTTTTTTTTTGTTTGTTTGTTTCTTAGTAGGAGAGTCTTTAGGGTATAGAAAGATAGTAAACAAAAAAAAAAAGATTTAGGAAAGTACTATTAACCTTTGCTTAAATGTTTCTTTTGTTTTTTTGTTTGTTTGTTTTGTTTGTTTCTTAGTAGGAGAGTCTTTAGGGTATAGAAAGATAGTAAAAAAAAAAAGAGCTTTAAGAAAGTAATATTAACCTTTGCTTAAATGTTTCTTAGTTGTTTTTTTTTGTTTTTTGTTTGTTTCTTTCTTAGTAGGAAAGTCTTTAGGGTATAGAAAGATAGTAAAAAAAAAAAAAAATTTAAGAAAGTACTATTAACCTTTGCTTAAATGTTCTTAGTTTTTTTTGTTTTTTTTGTTTTTTTTTTTTTGTTTCTTAGTAGGAGAGTCTTTTAGGGTATAGAAAGATAGTAAAAAAAAAAGATTTAAGAAAGTACTATTAACCTTTGCTTAAATGTTTCTTAGTTGTTTTGTTTTTTGTTTGTTTGTTTGTTTGTTTCTTAGTAGGAGAGTCTTTAGGGTATAGAAAGATAGTAAAAAAAAAAATTTAAGAAAGTACTATTAACCTTTGCTTAAATGTTTTTTTTTTTTTTTTTTTTTCTTAGTAGGAGAGTCTTTAGGGTATAGAAAGATAGTAAAAAAAAAAGAAAAAAAGATTTAAGAAAGTACTATTAACCTTTGCTTAAATGTTTCTTAGTTGTTGTTGTTTTTTGTTTGTTTGTTTGTTTGTTTCTTAGTAGGAGAGTCTTTAGGGTATAGAAAGATAGTAAAAAAAGAGCTTAAAGAAAGTACTATTAACCTTTGCTTAAATGTTTTTTTTTTTTTTGTTTGTTTGTTTTTTGTTTCTTAGTAGGAACGTCTTTAGGGTATAGAAAGATAGTAAAAAAAAAAATTTAAGAAAGTACTATTAACCTTTGCTTAAATGTTTCTTAGTTGTTGTTTTTTTTTTTTGTTTTTTTTTTGTTTTTTTGTTTCTTAGTAGGAAAGTATTTAGGGTATAGAAAGACAGTAAAAAAAAAAAGATTTAAGAAAGTACTATTAACCTTTGCTTAAATGTTTCTTAGTTTGTTTGTTTTTTGTTTTGTTTTTGTTTGTTTTGTTCTTAGTAGGAAAGTCTTTAGGGTATAGAAAGATAGTAAAAAAAAAAAAAAAAAAAAGAGATTTAAGAAAGTACTATTAACCTTTGCTTAAATGTTTCTTAGTTGTTTTTTTTGTTTGTTTTTGTTTCTTAGTAGGAACGTCTTTAGGGTATAGAAAGATAGTAAAAAAAAAAAAAAAAGATTTAAGAAAGTACTATTAACCTTTACTTAAATGTTTCTTAGTTTTTTTTTTTCTTTTTTTTTGTTTTTTTTTGTTTGTTTCTTAGTAGGAAAGTCTTTAGGGTATAGAAAGATAGTAAAAAAAAAAAAAAAAAAAAGATTTAAGAAAGTACTATTAACCTTTCCTTAAATGTTTTTTTTTTTTTTTTTTTTTTTTTTTTGTTTGTTTTTGTTGTTGTTTCTTAGTAGGAAAGTCTTTAGGGTATAGAAAGACAGTAAAAAAAAAGAGCTTAAAGAAAGTACTATTAACCTTTACTTAAATGGTTAACGTTGTTCCGGCACTTCAATAATTATCTCCTTTTGTATGCTGTTTCTTATCATGTTAATTAAAGACCGTAATAAGGGAATCTTTAGCTTATTATAAGATTGCTATCGAGTTAAGCTCTCTGACAGTCTATACGCAATAAGGAAGTCCTAAGCTTATAAAAGATGCAAGAGTTGACCCTTAAGAACATACCCTTAACCTCTTGCATAAATTATATCCACCTTATAACCAAATAACTCACAAAAAAAAAAAAAAAAAAAATCTAGCACATTTAAAGATTTAAGAGATTTAGTTTTAATTCCATTTGTTACAATGGATATTCTTTGCTGTGACATCTTTCATTAAACCTCTTCTTCTCTTTATCTTAATTTTTTTTAATCCAGCACTTTCGTATTCGTGAAATAAAAAGAGTTGGACAGGATAGGGGAAGGGGGAGAGGTGACGATAAATAGATAATAGATAGGATGGGATATATAGATAGGAGGAATTAGATAGACAGGATAGAAGGAGAGGAAGAGGGAGAGGGGAAGGATCTTAAATAAATAGGATGGAAGGCGGAGGAGGAGGGAGAGGAGAGGATCCTAAATAGATAGGATTGAAGAAGGAGGAGGAGGAGGGAGAGGGGGAAGGATCCAAAATAGATAGGATGGAAGGAGGAGGAGGAAGAGGGAGAGAAGAGGATCCTAAATAGATAGGATGGAAGAAGGAGGAGGAGGGAGAGGAGAGGATCCTAAATAGATAGGATGGAAGAAGGAGGAGAATATCTTAAATAGATAGGATGGAAGAAGCAGGAAGAGGAAGAGGAGGAGGAGGAGGGGAAGTTGAGGATCATAAATAGACAGGAAGGAAAGAGGAGAAGGAGAGGAGAGGATCCTAAATAGACAGGACAGAAGGAACAGGAGGAAGAGGAAGAGAAGGAGGAGGAGGAGGACGGAGTAGGGATGCGCTAATTATTCACTCGTTAAGTGAGGTTTGCGAAATGACCTTTTAGTCTGACTTCGCTGTTTTATTCTCGTTTCGTTTTGGGGAACTCCTCCTAAGACGGTGTTGGCCATTTGTTCTGTCTCTGCGCGTCTGTGAGTTGTGGTTTTTCCTTCCTCTTCTGGTGTTGTTGCAGGTCAGAATATTGCACATATAGACAGGTATACATGCATTTATATATATATATTTTTTTTATTGATCTCTTTATCTATATGTATGTAAGTATGTATGTATGTATGTATGTATGTGTGTATGTGTGTATGTATGTATGTACACACACGCACACATACATGCCCACGCACACACACATACACACTACACACACACAATATTCAGTCTTACCTTGACATTTATTTCAAGGTGTCATGTGGAAAGATGGACAGATAGATAGATAGATGGATACCGATAGATACGGATGAATTGAGAGATAAATAGATTGATGGATAGATTTACGAATTCACACGCGAATCCATTTTATCTAAAAAATGTCTTTTGCGTTTACATTCACACATTTTTTTTTTTCTCTCTCTCTCTCTCTCTCTCTCTATTTCCTCTTTGCCTTAACGGTTGGGAAAATACCCCCTTTCCCTCTCTCTCCTCCTCCCTCCCCCACCCTGTCCCTCCTCCTCTCCTCTCCCTTCCCTTTCCTCCTCCCCCTTCCCACTCCCTTCCCTCCCTCTCTCCTCCTCCCCCCTCCTGCCCACCCCACCCTTGTTACACCATAACATCACCGAGTTGTTTGTTGCACATGCCGCTTTGTCACGCCAGTCGCTTGCACACTGCAATTTGTTTACGTTGACGAGGCATGGCTTTGTTTACATCCTCCAGCTGTTACGAGACCCACCGATCCATTCATCAAGGCGACCGTCCTGTGCCTATTACAGTATGGTTAACGTTTGGGAGGAATTTGATATGCATAAGAATACGGGAGAGGAGGGAGGGAGAGGAGGGAGGGGAGGGATGGAGGAGGGGAGGAGGGAAGGAGGGGGAAGGATGTGGGGGGAGAAAAGGGTGAGGGTGTAGATGGGAGGAGGGGAAGGATGAGGGGGGAAAAGGGGAGAGGGTGAGAAGGGAGGGGGGGGAGGTTAGAANAGAGAGAGAGAGAGAGAGAGAGGGGGGGGGGACATATTAGGACCCTAACTATTCATAGAAAAAGAAAGAAATTAGATAAATTATGACCCCAGTTATTCCTAGCATTCAGGGAGGGAGATGGGAACCTATAGGATCTGCAGGTTAAGGCTATATACGCATCATTTGCTGTCTGCCCACTTTATTTGTTATTATTTGTGATCATCATTGGGTTGAGGTATACTCTTCTTGTACCTTTACTAGAGAAAAATTCCTCAGCATGGAGGATTTGGGAAATTATACCTTCATGATATAATTATTGACATATCTATTGATAGAGATAGAGAAGGGCAGCTCCATTCCATGTTATTAAGGAAATAATAGATATATTTTTATACTGACACATACTATTTTTTATCAGTATTCTTGATAGGACTGAATTTAAGTGAACAATGTCAAGTAATGCTTGAACTTTATATTTTACAAGAAACTTCATTTTTTAATTTGCTTATATATTTTGGATTCTTTATATATTTTGCATGTTGTACATGCAAAAAGAATTATATATTTGAATACTATATTTTATAGAGATGTTATATATATATATTATATATATATATATATATATATATATATATATATATATATATATATATATATATGTATATATATATACATATATATAATAAACAATATATCATTTCATCTTTAGGTGCAAACAGTGGAATTGGGAAATGCATTGCAACTGAAATTGCCAAACGAGGGGGGACTGTTCACATGGTGTGCCGGAACCCAAAGACTGCAGAAGAAGCCAAGGGTGAAATCACAGAAGCGTCAAACAATCAGGTGATACACTCACTGCCTGTGTATACTAGTAATACAGAGTTAGATATGATTTAATAATGTTGATTTGAATTAGATCTAATTTAAGATTACTGTCTTACCTCTGCCTCCTCTGATTACAGAATGTCCACCTACACATTTTGGACATGTCAGTGCCTCAAGATGTCTATAAATTCACGCAAACCTTCATGGAGCAGCACGACCAGCTACATACATTGGTAGGTGTTCTTTAAATTTTGGCTGAAGCTTGTGGATTTGGGGATGGGGATTGGTGGGTGGGTCTCTCTCTCTCTCTCTCTCTCTCTCTCTCTCTCT